TTTGTCTCGTCGCTCCGGCCGGACAGGGCAGCACAGTATGGTGAGGGGCGTAACATTTCCGTCACACGCTTGAGGTATTCGGCCAATCACAACGCACTGGATAGCTGGCCAATCACAGCACACCTCGCTTTTCAGACCGATGAGCTTTGTACAAATCGACGCGTTTCAGAAAGGAATAATGTACAGTATGTGGAAAATAATGTGTTTTTTGAAGCTTAAACCGCATAAACACATTTCATTACACCAAATACACCAAATTATGTTCTTTTTAGCAACATCATATGACCCCTTTAATGCTTTGTTGGGGACGCTTGACTGATTGAACAGACACTTTTGGAAGAGAGCTGAACTGGATGATGATGAACTGACTTTAGCTGGAAATATTGTCTTCTTGCATCAACAAACTATTTTCCTGTTTAACACTGTAAAGCTGCCCTGACACGTCCAGTATTGTGTAAAGTGCTACATAAATAAAGGTGACTTGAATTGTGCTGACGACTATAGCGAAGTCTTGCTTGCTTTTTCTTTCGGTTCCATTGGAATTTTGAGATCATATTTCGCCATATATTTTAATCCATTCCCTAGAAATTTGTCCTGCCCGAACCTGTGTAGAACATGCAAAAAAAAGAAGAAGAAAAAAAAAACATTTAACCTGGCCCTCTTTGTTACCTAAAATAATAATAAAAAATGCACTTATACTTAGCCTTTTATATATATATATATATATATATACACATACATATATATATATATATATTTTATTGATCTCTTGACCATTGATTTCACGACATATTTATTGAAATGGTTATGTTGGAATTTAGATTTCGTAACTGGACATGACTTCTGTGAGATTTATTACTTAGAAAAAAAATCTGAAGATCTGTGAACTGCAAAACTGTTCCTATCCATCTCTTTCTGTGAATATATATTTGTTTCCAGTGGGGCATTTTTGGACACCTAAATGTATAGATTTGCAGGGGAAAACCCTGATTTTTATTTTAATGTTAAAGTTAAACGACCCCACCCCCTCCCCCTGTGAATTGATATCATTTTGTTGATTTTAATGTGTAGTAATGTAGTAATTCATGGAGTCATTATTTAATAATTCTACTTTCAAACATCATTATTCATGACAACCTATGGGCTAAAGACACAAAGGAATCCTTCAATCGGAATGGACTATTATGACACTGCCTTCAATTAAGAAAATAGGCCTATAATACTGCACTTACTTTTTACATTTTCCCCGACACCAAACAATGTTTCCCTTGATTAGCAGTGCAGTGTGAATTTTCTGAAATTAATTCTCAACATACATTTAAGATACTTCATACAACTGGTAAAAAGAGGTGATGCTTTGCAGACACTTTATTACACAAATAACATTGTTACTGAAAATAGTTGTCTTGCAATAAAACCTCAGTATCACAGCAAATATCAGACACATCTCACATTAGCTTTGAAAATGTAGTAAATACAGCCTTAAATCTGTAATCATGTTTTTTTTTTGTTTTTTTTATCAGATGCAAAAAAACAACTGGAATCACAGGTGACAGTAGCAGCTCTTAAATATGTGGCACATCTGTAGTAATATATAGGTGCTGCAGAAGGCGAAATACATGAAGGCACAGACATACAGAAATGTTAGGACACAAAATGCCTGGATCAATTATATACTAATTGCACTGCTATCAGACTGCTAAATTACTGGAAGAGATTGAACAGCTGTTCATCGTTAAAACTAAATAAATAATCTACCTTTACCCTTCTGTTAAAAATAACAATGAAAAGTCTATCATCAAAATGACCAGTGCTCTGAATCTCCATGTGGTCCCTTAAAATCATAAATTAAAGTGGCAGTCGTAGGTCTCAGGGAGAACATTTTCACACCGGATGAAATGTTTCAGCAGCCGATACAAACAAATACAGAGGTGATTAAAGTAGATCCCGACAGCGCTAGCAGAAAGCGTTGGCTCTTTAGGACGAGGACATCGGGGCCGGCGGAGCAGAGTACTCCTCGTTCTCAGAGTCGGTGCCGTCCTCGTCTTTCTCCAGGTCGCTTCCCTCGGTGCTGAGCCTGTCGAAGCCGTGCCGGGTGTAGCCTTTGTGGGAGGCAAAGAAATTCCCCAGGTTCAAGCTTCCTGCAGCTTTGCCTGTGTGTGAGAAAGAGTCTTACTCACAACCCTTGCAACATCTAACGCCGGGTATACAATATGTGACCCAGGACCACAAAACCATCATAAGGGTCAATTTCCCAAAATTGAGATGTATACATCATCTTAAAGCTGAATAAATAAGCTCTCCGTTGATGTATGGTTTGTTAGGATAGGACAATATTTGGCTGAGATACAACTATTTGAAAATCTGGAATCTGAGGGTGCAAAAAAATCTAAATATTGAGCTGACCTGCACAATGTGTGTTTGATGTGGATAAAACACTGTCAAACTGTTTAAAAGGTTATTCTGTAGACATAAATGTCCATTTTTTGAAACTATACATGTTTTCTGCTAGTACTTGCGTGTATTAAATGATCTGAAACACAAAGTCAAATGTGCATGAAATCTAATTTGAATGTAGCGGTACGGTTACACCACAGACGTTCTAACTAACCACACGGTTGTGTTTACGCGCTCCAGGAACTGGCCAAAAGAAAAAGGAAAGCTTTCATGGAAAGCTGAGCGTTAGGTCTCATCTTCTCTCTTACCTCTGATTTTACCCAGGATTCCTCCTGCTGATCCTGAAGAATCCAACTTCACCTGACAATCATCTTAAAAGTAGAAATCGATCAAAATCAATCCCACATACAACAGCACATGGAGTTAAAGGGATCATATGATGCGATTTGAATGTTTTCTTTCTCTTTGGAGTGTTACAAGCTCTTGGTGCATAAAATCACAGCACACCTCGCTTTTCAGACCGATGAGCTTTGTAAAAATCGACGTGTTTCAGAAAGGCGGGGCATAGAGGAGAAACAATAATGTACAGTATGTGGAAAATAATGTGTTTTTTGAACCTTAAACCGCATAAACACATTTCATTACACCAAATACACAACATGATGTTCTTTTTAGCAACATCATATGACCCCTTTAATGTAATGGGAAAAAAGCCAATTGCACAGTTACCGCTGTACATCCGGCCCCTCTTCCAGCGGATGAAGACACCGATGGTGATGACGAGCACCAATGGGACGAGCAGTAGAGTGGTGATGATAGCGGTGGACATGCCCGGAGCGCTCTGATTGGCCACGATCTTGAGCGTCTTCTTCTCTTCAGCAGCTGCCGGCGGCTGCTGAGGCTGTGTCTGTGACGGCTCCTGCATCTTCTGCACTGCAGCTACTGGATGCTGAGGCGCGAACTTGGGTAACGGCTTCAGATTGGCCTGCACAAACGTTTCTGTTTCTAAAAGAAAGGGGGAATCAGGTAAGAAACAATTAAAAATAATTATGGATTTGGGGGAATGCTTAACTGTCAAGAAAATTGGTGAAGCATGACTCTGACATTGACTGCTTTTGGGGAGTTCCAGCCATTTAATGTAGGGCAAGTGCTTTACACACTGCATTAAGAATTTGTTTCAAGGGACTATGTGGTTCAGTTTATTCACTTTTACAGGATTTTCCAACCTGTCTTAACAATCGCAAATAGTGTGTGTTTACATTACAAGTCTTAACGGAAAGGCAGTGCCAAAAATGGAGCATTTAATGCAGTTGAACATACATGTGAACTGTTTACGGAAGTCCTAAGAGGCCATGCATTATGATTATTTTTCTTTCTTGTTTTCTCTCGTGATCACGACTTAATTTTCTCGTAATCTCGACATAACAAAATAAAGCAATAAGCCCCAAGAAGCCGTGGTTTACTAAAGCAATAAGCTTTGCGTCGTGCCTAACAACGCCCCTTAGCTGTTATAAATTCACTGTAAACCACGGCTTCACGGGGATTATTGCTTTTATAAAACGGTTATTCCATAGACGTCGTAAGGTTTCACAAAATAAAATAGAGCAAATAAAGTGTAATGATAATAAAAACCGTATTCTTCCACCAAACAATGTAGTTCCTCAGAAACAGTTGTGTTACAACAAAGAGGTTGCAGAGCAACACACAGAAGTAAACAAAGGTGTGTGTTTGTAGAGTAATTTACAACAGCTTCAAACGTGGCTCAGCCAATCAGAATCAAGGACCGGAACTCTCCGGTTTATAATTGTTTTTGTTTACAATGATTGTTTGATTTTTAAAACACAATGTGTCGTGAGTCTACCGTTTCTATAGTAACAAACGCAACTTAACATAACGAAGGTCCTCCTGATTCTGTCCCAGTAAGGTACAGTAAGGTACAGTAAGGTACAGTAAGGTACAGTAAGGTGGATATACAGTAAACAACACCCCATCAGTTATATTCAGCTCTACACTGCCACCTGTTGGTGCAGCTGTGTAACTTAGAGCAAGGGTTTCCAAACCTGTCCTGGAGGACCCCCAGCCTGTTAGCAGAGACTGCAAGAGCTGAATTAGGTGTGTCTGATAAGGGAGACACACAAAATGTGCAGGACTGGGGTCCTCCAGGATAGCTTTGGAAACCACTGACTCTGAGAACAACTTCTGTTATGTTGAGATCATGAGACAATATAAAGCCGTGACCATGAGAAAACAACTTGTGTCGTGATAATTAAGCCGTGATCATAAACCACTCCAAACAACCTACCTTCAATTTCTTGGACCTCGATTCCTCCTTTCTTAACAGAGCGATGTTCTGCCTCTGAAATGAGAAGAAGAATTCCTAGGTTTACATTTTTGTTGTTAGAATAGACATAGGATTAAATTACAGGTTTGCAATAACGGACTCAATATTTCCAGTTTTCCAGTAGCCTTGGAATTTGGAAAGTTTGGAATTTAAAGTTAAAGTTGGAATTTTCTCTGGTTAACTAAATTGTGTAAAATTCTGAATATCTTTTTTTTTTCCTGGGCTTTTTCTGGATTTCTTGCGATTGTGAATAATGTGTAGCAAAATAAGCATTTAACTGCATTAAATGATTTGTATAAACATCATATTTTTATTTGAAATGTTATACTGGTATATTCACGTATTAGTATTTTTACACAAACATAACTTACTTGCAGATAGAACAAACTTTATTACAGAATCTGATGCTGCGTCTCCAACAAAGACGCTCCCGTCTGCTGTAACAACAATGTCGTGTGGTAATTTAAATGCCTGAAGGAGAAACAGAGGGAAAAGACTTCAGATATCAAATATGAACAAGAAAGAGAATGTGCAAACAGACCCATAACAAGACATTTGCTCTGGTCCTCCTGTCTTCAGCATGATGTTTTGTGTTGCCACAATAAAGAACGTTGCTAATTTTGCTTGTGTTTTTCCTCATTTGGTAAAAGCTGAGGCTGAAAGCATCTACTAAATCAATAAATGCAAGACGTAAAGAGCAGGGAAACCTATAAATCTAAAGCTATTTGTTTATTGGCATGAAAATAAATCCTAGAGAAAGCTGAGCGACAGGCCACACACCTCAGTGTTATCACTCTTCATCAAATCAGCAGCTTTATTCATGTTTCCACAGCTTTATTAAATCAGATATCATGAAGCAACAGTGGTGTCTGATGACAATGAGAAGGCAGCAGCACCCTAACCCTGACCAACAAATGGCTCAACTGTTAGATAATGGACTCTGTCATAGTAATTTTGAATCAAGTTTTAATCAAGTCTCTAAAGTGTCTCTAATCGTTCTACAAACCATTTACCAGTAAAAGGCTTTTTTTACCACTAAGTTGCATGAATTTATCCTTCAGTTAATCACCAATCTGTACTTTTTTTTTTGTTGAAGTTTCTATGATTCATGAGCATCGTGCACCGCTTTGACCTCCACATGAGACGTCAGACTTCATCTTTCACTCTAGACACCCGTTTAACATCACACAAATTTGCATATAATCAATCGCTGTGCTTTGTAAGGTCAATGACAAATGGAGTCAGTTGAATTAAAGGATGATATTTGTGCAATACTGGGCAGCACTGACCAGAGACATCTGACAGGGCCTTTACTATACAATACAACTAACACACAACTCTCTGCTACCACATCTACTATTATGAGTGAATGCTGTGTTGTGCACAGCAGGAGTGTGGAAACATGAGTTAAAGCTGTAATTAGCACCTGTGTGTCTGGACTGAAGGAATCCAGGATCTCTTTAGTTGAATAATTGATAACAAAGCCTTGAAGGGGGGCGGCCTGCCCATATGGAGGCTCTCCATTCACCGCATAGATGAGACCACCTGAAACGACACATGTGTGTAGAGTCAACATTAGCACTGATTTAGTTTTGCATCCTCAGTATGTTTGTGAACATGTATTCAAATTATATATCAAAGGCCAAGTGAATTAACATTCACAAACTACAATCATATTTGACACAAAGTGCAACCTCATCCATTTTATTACTGAGTGACCGAACATTAGACAATGTGATCACAGGTAGGGGATGACGTCCACATTCAGATTTATATGACAACATGATGATACGATAAATCAACAGTGATCTGCTCTGTAGAGAGATGTTATCCTGCTCTCTTCATGCATACCTTGGGCAGGCGAGTATGCAATGGCAAACACTTCTCCTCCAAACTGCTCTTTTTTGATCTCCTTCACAAACTCGCCAGTATCTGCCATGAAGCACTGGATCCGTCCGTTGTCTCGATCGGCCACACACAGCTCCCGTTTATCCGGCAGGAAGGCCAGGCTGTGCGGGATCCAGAACGGGACACGCCGTTTTCTGTCTAAGGAGCCTGTGCCATCAGCAAAGAGGGAGTATTAATTAAGTCTAAATATCCAACCAGTGCTGAAACATCAACCGGGTGTTTTATCTGCCAAACTGATTAAATTCTAATCAAATTGGGTCATACCTAGCTGCGATATCAAATTATTTCTCATTGTAAAAATATATAAAATAGATTCTGCAAAGTGTACCTGCTCCCCAGTGCGAGATATATTTGCCCTCTGGTGAGAATTTGAGGATCCTGGAGTTGCAGTAGCCGTCTGAGACATAGACGTTTCCAGTAACAGGGTCCACAGCCACATCTGTAGGCTGGCAGAAGTGTTTCTTGTCACTTCCTGGTTCAAAAGCTTCTCCCAAGACCAGAAGCTGCCGATCATTACCGTCGCTGCTCAGTTTGATTACCTATATAGTTGTGGAAGCCATATACGTTATTTTTGCTTGAACATTATGTGTTTTTTTCAATTGTACTGTTTATCACAGATACATTTTATTTACAATTCACCTTTTCAGGTGGCAATCCTGTCTTATTTTTCCTGGAAATCTAATTAAAAATCATGATTGCATTGCTGTATGAGTTCTTCCAAAGTTGAGGCAGAATTTTAACAATATAGCTGAATAATACAGAGTGGGATTTGATAGATATTAAAAGTGCCACAACTTCTATTGTGTTACCAAAACAAATTGCCATGTGTGTGCAGGTTAAGAGGGCTCGTGTTAACGGTCGCCGTGATTTTGCCAAGTAAGACATGTTCCTGGATCAACATTACAGTCCAAAAATATAGACCTAACTCAATCCCTACCCCTAAACCTAACCCTACCCATAATTTATTCCTAAAATCAGAGGGAAATGATAGGTGAATAACAAGGGTGTATAAGCACCTAACCCTGACTGTAAGCCTAAAACGGACATTTCTTGAAAACTTATCCCTCAATTCTGATTGGTTGATTGGAATGTTGTTCCAGGATCATGTTGTTCTTGATGAAATCACGTTCACCTCGCGTTAACGCTGGGCCAGTTTAAACAGCCATACAATACACTTTTAGAGATTATTCCCGTATTAATGTAAGTACAGTGACTCGAGTGCAGAAAGAGTCATGAGTTTCTTGATTTGAGCGTCTTTACCTGATGAAGTGCTACATCGGTCACCCAGTAATTATCGTCCTTGTCAGTAGTTATTCCATGCGGCATATAGAACCTGTTCAAACAACCATTTCATTAACAACAAGCACAATGAATCAAAGATAGAAAATATAGCAAACAGCAGTACCTTGTCTAAACTCACTTTCATTATAATCAATCTTTCTGCAGGGCAAACGCAGCTTCATTGATTAAAAACAGCCGGCCCACTAACCTGAACTGTAGACATGGTGCAAAAACACAATCTCATGGACTTACATATTTCTTCCTGAGGCTTTGAGCACTTTTCCTTTGACTGGATCCACCACCATGATCGTGGACTGCTGGATGGGACCCAGATCCTTCTGCTGGTAGATGCCATTGATGAAGGAGCTGCAGGAGAAAATGACTTCATTATACCATAACAACATATTGTGTATTAGCAGCATTCCCCCCTTTAGAGGAACAGTTCACCCAAAAATAAAAACCTGTCATAACTTCCTTAGCCTGTTGTTGTTTCAAACCTACCGGTATATGCATTTCTTTCTACTCTTGAACACAAACTGAAAGAATTTCACCTCCTTTCCATGCAATTAAAATAAATGCAGATCCAAATATGACAAAAAAGCTCTACAAACTTAGCATAATCATAGCCCAAATGACATTTATTCCAAGTCCTCTGAAGCCATATGAAAGCTTCGTGAAAGCATGAAATATAGACTTTCATTCATCTTCGAAACACAAATAAAGATACATTCATACATACTCAGAGCACATATATACAGTAGAGCATATCAAATATGGTAAACGGCAGCTCAACTGTACTTGTTTGAAGCATGTAAATAAACCTCATTAGCTCTCGTGGAAGCTCAAATGTGCTTGAGTGACATGCAAGAAAAAATCTCAGTGGTTTTAAAGCTTCAAGCGAGTACAGTTGAGCTTCCACTTATCATATCTGATGCGCTCTACACACAGTATGTGTTGTAAATAAAAGCCTAAATGAAATCTGTTCATCATATAAATCAATCACATCTCTTCAGAAGACTTGGATTAAACTGCTTGATTCATATGGATTATATTTACAATGTCTTTTTAAACTTTTTGGAGCTTGAAAATGTTGTCTGCATGGACTTTCAATGGATGGAAATGAATGAGAATATTAAAAATATCTTCATTAGCATTCCAAGGATGAACGAAAGTGTTATGGATTTGAATGACTCGAACAAGATAGAAAATATAGCAAACAGCAGTACCTTGTCTAAACTCACTTTCATTATAATCAATCTTTCTGCAGGGCAAACGCAGCTTCATTGATTAAAAACAGCCGGCCCACTAACCTGAACTGTAGACATGGTGCAAAAACACAATCTCATGGACTTACATATTTCTTCCTGAGGCTTTGAGCACTTTTCCTTTGACTGGATCCACCACCATGATCGTGGACTGCTGGATGGGACCCAGATCCTTCTGCTTGTAGATGCCATTGATGAAGGAGCTGCAGGAGAAAATGACTTCATTATACCATAACAACATATTGTGTATTAGCAGCATTCCCCCCTTTAGAGGAACAGTTCACCCAAAAATAAAAACCTGTCATAACTTCCTTAGCCTGTTGTTGTTTCAAACCTACCGGTATATGCATTTCTTTCTACTCTTGAACACAAACTGAAAGAATTTCACCTCCTTTCCATGCAATTAAAATAAATGCAGATCCAAATATGACAAAAAAGCTCTACAAACTTAGCATAATCATAGCCCAAATGACATTTATTCCAAGTCCTCTGAAGCCATATGAAAGCTTCGTGAAAGCATGAAATATAGACTTTCATTCATCTTCGAAACACAAATAAAGATACATTCATACATACTCAGAGCACATATATACAGTAGAGCATATCAAATATGGTAAACGGCAGCTCAACTGTACTTGTTTGAAGCATGTAAATAAACCTCATTAGCTCTCGTGGAAGCTCAAATGTGCTTGAGTAACATGCAAGAAAAAATCTCAGTGGTTTTAAAGCTTCAAGCGAGTACAGTTGAGCTTCCACTTATCATATCGGATGCGCTCTACACACAGTATGTGTTGTAAATAAAAGCCTAAATGAAATCTGTTCATCATTTAAATCAATCACATCTCTTCAGAAGACTTGGATTAAACTGCTTGATTCATATGGATTATATTTACAATGTCTTTTTAAACTTTTTGGAGCTTGAAAATGTTGTCTGCATGGACTTTCAATGGATGGAAATGAATGAGAATATTAAAAATATCTTCATTAGCATTCCAAGGATGAACGAAAGTGTTATGGATTTGAATGACTCGAACCAAATTATGAGTTTTCATTTTTGGGTGAACTATCCATTTCAACTACAGTACACAATGCACTTTAAATAAACTTTAATCAGACAGTAACATTGTTCAGAGTCAGACAATGACAACTTCATGAGCAAGAAGTCAGTGTTCATTGGATGTCTAGATAGAGCTCAATTCTACATCAGTTCATCACTTCAAACTTTATCACCTGCACAAATTCTTCTTCTTTTTTTCAGAGCCTCTGGGTGAGAATGCTTATATGTATGGAGTGGGTTAATAAACCATAACATACTTAATTCCCCATATGTGATCTCCTCTGTGGAAGATGATCAGGTCACCGTTAGAGTTGAGAGCCAGACCAGACACTTGCCCCAGCTGCAGATCTGCCTCGGGCCAGTCTGACACCTCCACCAGATGAGCACCTGCACACACACAGACACACACAGACACAGAGACAGAGACAGAGACAGAGACAGAGACAGAGACACACAGACACACAGACACACACACAGAGACAGAGACAGAGACAGAGACACAGACACAGACACAGACACAGACAGAGTCACACAGACACAGACACAGAGACAGAGACAGAGACAGAGACAGAGACAGAGACAGAGACAGAGACAGAGACAGAGACACAGACACAGACACAGACACAGACAGAGTCACACAGACACAGACACAGAGACAGAGACAGAGACAGAGACACAGACACAGACACAGACACACACACCACAGGTTAACACATACAGCCAAGTCAAAATCTGATTGGGTTACACTTCAATACAATTATTTTCAAACGATTCATAATAATTTCCAAAAATATGTTGCACCCACAACTGAAATGGGGAGATTCACTTGAATATTGAAAACAATACATCAGGCTTTACATTTACAGTCTCAAAAATTGAATTTTTGTTTAGAATTGAATGTGTAGAACATGATGTGTAAGACGAAAAAAATTAAACGTCTGAAAGTTCTTAATTCAAACAACTCAGGTTTGAGCCCATTAGATTCACACAGATGCAACAGCAGGGGTACAAAGAGACCTGGTTCATGATCATTTTATTCACTTTATATCCATTTATTACTGTTGGCAAACTACTGAAAACAGACTTTTAATAAGTTAGGTATAGTGAAATAATAACCAGATCAGATTGATGCATCAGTGCATTTTTACACGACTTCATGCAACACACCAAAAACATGCTGAATGTAAACCATAATAAGTCTGTACTCAACTCCTGTATGTGCACACCTTTATGAGCTGAACTCTAGTGGGAAATGAGGAATTAATGTGGTCGCTGAGGGCTAAAAACTTTCCGCTGTATGTTTGGAATGCCATGTCACCTCCTATACGAAGTATATACTGTACATAGAATGCTTCGATTTGATGACAATGTGTAAGTAATGTCAAAGAAACGTCTTTTTATACCGTAAGGTTAAAAAGCTCCTCGCAGACTGCACGCACATGCAGTGTAGCCCGATTGACAAACTGATTGCCTACTTGTGCCAAGCAAACATGTTTGAGCTTCTGTTTATCAAGTTAGATGAGCTCTATGTATGTGTGTTAATGTTTATGCGTGAATAAAAGCCTAAATTAAATCATTCATCATATAAAGCGATCAGGTCTCTTCAGAAGACTTGGACTACACCACTCAATTCATATGGATTACTTCTACGATCTCTTTATGTACTTTTTGAAGAGTCAAAGTTTTGGTGTAATAAACTTTCAGTGGAGTGACAGAAATCTCTCAGGATGTTATTAAAAATATCTTCATTTGTGCTTGAAGATGAACTAAACTCTTATGGGTTTGGATTGGAACGTGAGAATAAATAAGTGGTGACAATTTAAATTTTTGGGTGAACTAACCCGTATTAAAATATGTGTTGATGTCAAGATGCATTTTGAGGTTGGGATACATTTAAAATTAGTTTTAAATATAAGATTTTTCATTTTTTTACCAAAAAGTGAAAATATAAAGTTTAAAAGGCCCAATTGCTGACAAACATTTACCAGAAGGATTTGCCAGAACACTATACTTTTACAAGTTTAAAAAAATGTACAGCCAAAGATGTCAATGACACAAGCATCTATTATATGTACAGTGGCCCCAGAAGTACACTTAAGAAACACATAATGGATGAATGCCTTTGCCCTATGCTAAATAAAAAATAGCTCAAAGTCAACAACATTTTTGTTTGATTTCAAACTATAAAACAACATATATGAGGTCCAAAGTAAAGGCAAAAAGTATCTGGTAAATGTCTGGAGGTCAAACATGTCCAAAGTCCAGTGTGAATAACTACATGTCTCGTATACAATACCTGTGTGAACTTCAGGGTCACTGTAACCTAGTACTGTAGGTCTTTTCACATTTGCACAGATGATTTTTAGGAAATAAATCTCAGGAATTTTGAAGAACAGATTGGTAAAATGTGTTAAACGGAGCTCACTACGATTGATAGCTTAAAACACAATCAAACGGAGTAAAATATTTAATGAGCAGACATGTAAGGTGAACGCAATGCATAGAGTGTGACTAACAAGTGTTCCAGATTTGCAGATTCATATTCTGTGTGGAATTTATGCAAATTAGACATCTTAGCCTTTTGTTGTTTTTGTATTAAGCTAATTATAAAGACGACCTCCTAAAGAAAACTTTTAGTATTTTAGAATTAAATCAAATACAAAAACTACAGTTAAGTATACCCACACACTTTCACACAACAAATGAGTGATACGCTGTGAATAAATCAAGTTGTTCTTGGATAAGATTCAAATGACAGCACATGTGCGCTGATGAATGACACTCTTTCATTATAATAGCTTCCAAAGCATGAAGTCATAGACACATTCGACACATCCCAAATAAAACTGATTCCTGAAATGTATATGACTGGGTTATGAATGTAGCCAAGAGCAATGACAAACTATGCAACATCAATGCAAGATTATCAATCTACAGTGCATTCACTAAAGAACACACACACAAAACACATGCATATTAAATGAACTACTGTTTGCATTATGTATTTCCATCACTGTCTGACCCATTACAACAGAAACAGAAAATGAATAAGAAATATCACATTGACATAAGTATTCAGCCCCTTTGCCATAACACTTAAAATTAGATAAGGTACATCCCATTTCTCTGGATCATCTCCACTGATTCTACACATTGACTGGAGTCCATCTGTGGCACATTCATCTGATTGGACACGATTTGTAAACGCACACACCTGTCTATACAAGTTCTAATAGCTGAAACCCAGAGCAAAACCCAAGTGTGCTTTTCAAAGCTGCATCCTAGTAAAGCTGTGTCCTTCCTAGTCCAGTCATGCAGTGAAAATATTGTTTTTTGGGGGAAAAAACAACTTTATATTAAAAATCTTTATACTTTCTGACTTTTTATTAAAGCAATACAGTGAATGACAACTATCTGTGGTCTCAACACAACAAAAGAAAACAATGCATTCATCTCCGAAAAAATGTTTTTGTCTTGCATTTCATCATGAACTCGGGCGAGCTCAGTGCGGTTCTTTTTCGTGAATTAGAATATGTACAAAGGATTGTGGGTGTTTCAAGGATGGAAGGATTTATAAATATGCCCTTAAAATATGCCAGATGTGAAACCAAGGCTTCAGACTGAGATGGCCTTCGATGGCGCTTGTTGACGTGACTGCTGAGATATGCAGCGTTACTAGGATGAAGCCTTCTAACTGAGAAACAGCCCAAGCCATGAGGTCACAGGAACTGCCTGCAGACCTCAGAGATGGACTGTGGTGTGCACAGATGAAACGCAGCTGCACTGACAGTTTCCAAGAGCACAGTGGTCTCCATAACTCTTAAATGGAGTAAGTGGTACAACCAATCCTGTGCAGTTGGTAAGAAAACTTGATGGTCACTCTGGTTGAGCTCCAGTGATCATGTGTGGAGACGGGAGAAACTTGCAGAAGGACAACCAACACTGTGACACTCCACTGATCTGGGCTTTATGGCAGAGTAGGTAGGCAGATGAAAGCCTCTCCTCAGAGAAGACACATGGAAACCTGCTTGAAATTTGCAACAACAAAAAAAAAGCTCCTAAAGGACTTTAGATTCTAAACCAGATTCTATGGTCTCGTCAATTCCAACCTCAATGTGTGGAAGAAAACCAGACACTGCTCATCACCTGTACAATACCATCCCACAGTGAAATGTGGCAAGGACCTGTCAGGGTGGAAGCAAGGCCGAACACAGAGATATTTTTAATGAAAACCTGGTCCTGAGCATTCAGGACCTCAGATTGGGCAGAATCCCAGTGTCCCAGCCAGAGTCTGGATGTGAACCCAATCGAACATCTCTTCAGAGACTTAAATATGGCTGCCCACGATGGTCACCAAACATCCTGACAAAGTTTACAAGGCAGAAAAATGGCAGAAAATCTCCAAATCCAGTTGCGCAAAGCTTGTCACATCATACCAAACAAGACTTGCGACTGTAATCACTGACAGACATGCTAACTCACTGTGTACTGACTTGAGATTCTGAATACTTATGTCAGTGTGGCATTTCAGTATAGGGCTGCAACATGAAAATGTGAAAAATGAAGGGGTAAGAATATTTTCTGAATGCACTGTATACACGTGTTGTGTATTCCAGACATTCTTTCTCTTCAAAACCAAATATATTGATGACTCATCTTGCTCGTAGGGGGGCTGTTTGACAAATTAAAGTTTGAGAGATGAAAGCTCTCCAACAGAGCCTGGTTTCTCCCAAGGCTTTTTCTCCATTTCTGTCACAGATGAAGTTTTGGTTCCTTGCCACCGTCGCCTTTGGCTTGCTTAGTTGGGGACACAATTTCTGGCAACATAGTTGACTTGATTGCACAGACACTATTGGAAGAGAGCTGAACTGAGCTGGACGATGACATCACTGAATCAACAATTAACCGACTTTAACTGATAAACTGATTGTTTTCTATTGTCCTTGTGCATTATCAGCACATGTTTTTTCTGTTTGACACTGTAAAGCAGCATCGACACAATCTGTATTGTATAAAGCACTATACAAATTAAGGTGACTTGACTTGAAAGCATTAAATGCATCTTGAAGTCTATTCTACAGCAATTCTCATGTTCCACATGAGGGAATTATTAATACCACATGGTATAATATTACACACTAAGCAAACACTCTGCAACCCAAAGTATGAATGATAGCAGTGAGATGGGTGGAAACAGGCTTCAAATGGAAAACAAATGGATATGTGGGAGACAAACTCATGTCTCAGTTGACACTGTGTTAAAAGCTCAGTGTCCACACAACACTTGATAGAGATACTTGATATGTCCTTGCTTTTTGTTGGGGTAAAAAACGAGACCGAAACCCACCTTGTTGGTCCCTCTGAGCCTCCCCTGTGGTCGGCTGTCTGGCGGATACAGTCCTGCTCCTTGAGGGGCTGACAGTGGACTCTAACTGGTGAAACTTGTGCACTCTGTCCCTCGCCAGAATTGCATCCTCTTTTGTTTTGTAGCCTAAACGTGGCCAGCCCAGGTCTTTTTTTTGCATTATGCTATCAATCTCTGCCATGAGATGTTTCTGGGCTCGGGCCACCTCTGTGGGGTTGTACTTATGCATGTGGACAACATCCTCCCTCTCCCCCAGCAGTTTAGAGAGAAGGGAATAGAGGTCACCTGCACAGGAGGAAACAGAGGAGGAAAAGCGGAAAGACAAAAGAGGAATGGTGGTGTAAATAGAAAAGTGAGAAAGCCATTGGAGTGGAAGAAAGGAGGTTGTGCTGGTGTTATATGTATTGGATAGACTCAATGGTTGAGTGTATATCGTGCTATTTTTGTCTGTCCTTTACGATTTTTTCTTTGGAGATTGTATGACAGGCCCGGTGAGATCTCGTGCAACATACACAGCCTTTTATTTCAGACAGTACATCTATTCTGGCATTTCACTGGCACGCAAAATAAAAAAGGCTGCACATCATTTATTAAGCCTGAAAAGGTTATATCCAATCTTTCAACTTATGTCATGACATCTACAGGGTATCTGCAGGTAAGGTAAAGCACTGCCTATTCTAGCAAGATTTAAGAGATATGTCAATTTTAAGACTTATTAGATCTCCCTTGGAAATGGGATGAAATTTCGTCAGATTACCTCAAAGAATGGATGACTACAATCTCAAAGGTCTGTAAATGGAAGAGTCTTTAATGAAAGAAATGTTTGAAAAACACAATTATTTGATGTATGTTTTCATGGAAAATGTGACATTTCTAAGTTACCCAAAACATTTAACAAGTTTAGTTTGCTGAACCAGCCAGGACCATCTAGGGACTCCATTGTCTCATAGAACAGTGGCACTGGATAAGTATCAAGTACATTCTTAGGAGTGAGCCAAAGAAATATTCTATTAACCACAAACCTCTGATTGTCCGAGGAGGCAACTTTTGTAGGTGACATTCTACAGAGTACTGGCTTTCTACAATAGGCCTATCTTATGGTGACTCTGGCTTTGAAGGCGCCTTTGTTTTTGGTATTTTCCCAGTCAGTCTCGCACTCTATCACACACAAAGGGCTCAGTAACCATAAGCAAAGTAAACCCTGAAGCATTGACCAAGTTTCTGTACCATTGTTCTCAACTTTTCTTCTGATGGCTCCTTGGCATTTTGTGAAGAGCTTGAGCCAGTTTGGTGCTGAATTGTTTTTCTGCCATTTTTCTGTGAATTGGGATTGTGCGCAAAGGATTGTGGATGAAAAGAGGATGTGAAGGATACGACTGATGCATCCTTCAAAACACCATTGCGTTTTACCTCCACTGTCAATTTCATTCCAACAGCTCAGGAGTCAATGAATCAACAAATAGAGCAGTCCAGTCTGATTTTCCATAGTCAATATGGATCAACCAATAAGATTTGGCACTAATTAAGAAAGCTTATTGGTCAAAAATACACATTTTAAGGGCAAATAGTGTGGAGCCCTTCTCTGACTGCCACAGTGATGAAATGTTTGATAGATTTCCATTGAATCTTAAACTGAAACAAAAACATGCCCAGTGCCACCCAGATAAGGTTTCTATAAGGAAACTGCCAGACATCTCCTTCAGGGCAAGAAGAAGATCCAATTAACATTGGAAAAGACTTCTCATTGATCCTGTTTCTTATTAACTAACTGCCCTTCAACCCATTTTGATTCTCACCGCAAGGTTCAGGCCAGAATAATGCAGCAACATATTTTACTGGCCATGCAACAGCAGTGGCTGAAACAAATAAAGACAAGTCTCTATGCACTTACTTACACAAAATGTATACAATACTAGAACAAATCCAATCCAACAAAACCATACTTATTTAGAGAAATAAGCATTAAAGGGATAGTTCACCCAAAAATTAAAATGTGATGTTTATCTGCTTACCCCCAGGGCATCCAAGATGTAGGTGACTTTGTTTCTTCAGTAGAACACAAACGAAGATTTTTAACTCAAACCGTTGCAGTCTGTCAGACTTATAATGGAAGTGAATGGGAATCAAGGCTTTGAGAGGCAAAAAAACATTCACAAACAAAACCAAATTAAACCCGGCGGCTCGTGACGATACATTGATAAATACTGTGTAAATATTCAAATGTAATCCCCTTTGTAATCGTTAACATTTTCATAAGTAACTAATTTAATTACACATTTTTTCTTAGTAACTGTAACTGATTACGGTTACATTTATTTTGTAATTAAATTACGTAACGCCGTTACATGTAACTAGTTACTCCCCAACACTGTATATAATGATATAAATATTGTTCAGTTTCTTGCACAGACCGATCGTTTCGTGTCTTTACACATCAATGTATCGTCACGAGCCGCAGGGTTTAATTTGGTTTTGTTTGTGTATGTTTTTGTGTCTCTCAAAGCCATGATTCCTATTCACTTCCATTATATGACTGACAGACTGCAACGGTTTGAGTTAAAAATCTTAATTTGTGTTCTACTGAAGAAACAAAGTCACCTACATCTTGGATGCCCTGGGGGTAAGCAGATAAACATTTCTGTGCGAATTATCCCTTTAATAATGACAGCTATTTGTGGTACAAATGAAAGCATGCATGATCCATCTTTTTCAAGCATGTTTGCATGACTCTGTGCATTCAAAACATTGCCAAAAGTATTGTGGAGGTGGTCTCGGAAGTGAGAAATACATTGGTCAAATTCAGTCACTGTTCTAGTTCCACAGGGAAATGCTAATACATAAAATTCATAAATATATTCTGTACAAAAAATAAATAAATATAACAATAGGCAAAAGACCAAGCCGACACTATAACACAGCCATTTCATTTGTGTAAATGGGATTCACAGTCTAGCCTTCTATTAGGAAGGGTGGACATTTTATTATGAAGCTAAATAGAAGTAGTCTTGGGATTTGCAGAAATAATAGCAGAAATGAGATGCTAACAGATTCTGTTTTTAAGTCATGCAGAGATATCTCTGAGACGTATCAGCGAGCTCTTAGCAGGTTAGAGATGGTTAAATAGGTCATGACATATTTTTTATATATTTTCCCTGAGGTCAAGCTATGCTAATATTTTCCCCCAAAACAGTCATAACTTTACAATGACCATTTTAAACCCTGTCTTTGATGATGTGAATGAAACATCTGGTTGCTTTACTTTAGCACTGATGCCCACTGCTTTGCATCAATGCCTCCCAGCATACGTGTTTTAAAATCTGTTGGTAAATGGCTAAACGCTTCAAATACAGTCTTATGTTTGAATTGTGGTGGATCAGTAGTTAACTGTGCACCTGACTCCTGATGAAAAACACCTAGTAGCCCCTAGATTGAGTTTGAGACCCCTGTATACACGGATTTGGTGATAATATATCAAATACCCTCAGGAACAACAATGTGAATGTATACTGAGTTTATTTATTGGAAGCTGACAAGAGTGAAAATAATTTTTGACTGCTTCATCTGCTGATAAGAGTTTTGTGACTGGTTGACTAGTTATCCATACTAACGTTATCAGGTACTTGAGATGTAAAAGTTCAACTCTTAATGTCAAAGGTACTGATGTGTTGCTGTGAAGGCAGTCAGCAATGGTGCATTCAAAATCAGAAAGTTGCAGAATTAACTTACAAGCCAAAAGATGAAAGAAAACTTGATTTCTCATGTCATGACCCATTTAAAACAAATCTTTGTTAAAAAAAAAAAAAAAGTCAATGCACACAGCTTATTTTCACTGGCAGCTAGATGGAGGCGCTTTAACTGTTTTTTCTATAATATTCCGTTTCTTTGAAATTATATTCATGACACCAATGAATCATATAATGTGTGAAGGGTTTATTAGTTTATCAAGCCTTATGTCACTCGAAACCTGTATGATTTTTTTCTTCCATGGAACACAAAAGGAGAAATTGTGCAGAATGTCATTTTCCATACAAGGAAAGAAAACGAAGATGGATGTTATTAAAATCTGAATGAGACCACAAAAAAAACAATGCCGGCAGTGACAGGCTAAGTGTGAGAGCTGTGTCAGAGGGAAATGTTTTCAGCAAATTATTTTTTGCATTACTAATATTTTTATTGTATTAGTATGGTGTATTTTAGTATATTATTATGTTTTTTTTTTTTTTACTTTATTATATTTTGTATTGGCAAATTATTTTGATATAGTACATTTTGTAAACTGCACTGCAGACCCAGTGAAACATTGATTGTGTTTTTATTATGCATTTGTCCTTTCTGGAGTTCAACAGTGTGCACTGTTATTCACTGTGCTCTCCAAAAGCTCTTATCTGGCACACTCATGTCTTGGAGTTGTACTACAGCTATACTATCAAATCCACTGTGTATTTCACAATAAAAGAATGTCATTCAGCCACTGTGTCAGTCAAATGAGATTTGTAGTGATTGTGCGTTTCAGTCTTGATTATCTCTTATTTTTAAACATCTTACCCTGATCCAGAACTTCCTCTTCTCTCTTGGGCTCCTGCAGAGCCACAACATCTGTGGAAATCAAGAAAAATATATTTATACAGAAAATATAGACTTTATAGATAAAAAATTTTTTTTAAATAAAAATAAATAATAAATCAAGTACATTTCATTTGCAAAATATTAACCAGGCCTCTGGATTCACTGGATTATCCCAAGAAAAATAATGCAATCATCCCACAGTAGCCTATAAGGTTTTGGTCGCTCTGCCTACTTAGTGTTTTGCATGCAAAATCTCAGAAGGTTTATTTTTGGATGGTACCTTTCTGAGGAGCTGACTCATGCTTCATGGACATCATGTGGTCTGGACTGACCGGGATGGGAATATTGGCCTCAGAAGGGATGTTTCGGAACAGTTCACTACTGCTGTCATCTCCGCAGCTCATGTAAGGCACAGCACGGCTGTTGTCCATGTAGTACATGATGTAGAAATTACACATCTCATCATTGGAGGTGCCTCTGTGAGGAAGGAAACAAGGACACATGAACAAACTACTAGCACAAAATGCCAAATTACAGCTCCAAAGATGCAAGTAAATGGCAAAAAACCCACAGAACAGCATTTGCCTCAAATGACACACCCACCAACCCTCTACATACTGCGAAACAGCAAGATATTCCTCAAAACAGTAAGCTCCTGTTGGGTTTCCATTGTTTCTGCTTCCAATGTGTCCATTTGTTTTTCAGTAAATGAGATATAACAGCTATATAATTTGGTTTGTTCTGTGACGCACCCCTAAATATCACGGAAAAAAGTAAACTTTGGTCTGAAAGGACACACTCGCACTGGTTTGGAAAGGAAACTTTATTTTTGCATTGTTGCATTCCAAATTGTGTCAGAACATATTCATATTCAGATCTGCCACCATTCAATGTATGCAAGCTTACTTTTCACAACCCCATCTACAACCAACCAAAATCAAATTTAATTGCAAAAGCTCCAGGTTTGCTGTGCTTGTTTGTAGTGATTAAATAGCAATATGACTGTAACATAATAATGATAATAATAATTTTATTTTACAGTAAAACTTAATTTAATCATTTTTAAATGTTTAACCTTTGAGGTTTTTGTGGAAAACTGCATCTTTAAGGCTATAAAACTAAAACTAAAAAAAAAGAGAAAAAAAAAGAATCATGAGCTGCTATCACATAAAAGAACACAGTGTCATGCTGCATTTTGAAACATGCAGAATATATATATATATATATATATATATATATATACTGTATATACATTTTATATACATACAGTATATACAAATCACAGCCTTTGCGATTTAATAATCGCACTAAGGCACATCACAATTTCAATTTTATTATAATTAGTCATGCAGCAAATTTTACATGGCACTTTAGAATTATATCCTTCAGATCTGCATCATGTTTCGTGAAAATCGGATATTTTGTTGAGTATAGGGCTGTCACGATAACTACTTTTTGTTGTGCGATATATTGCACCAAAATTAATTGCGATAAATGATATTATTGCCATTTTAAGACCATTTTATGCCACTGATTAATGACAGTATGACAATATAGCATAATAATGCAAGTACACTCTTTCAAAGAACAAATTTTTTTTATATAAAATAAAGAATATTTAGACATTGGAATCGGAATGTGAAAAAATATATCCTAAGTAAATAAAAATAATAAATAATAAATTAAGGATGCAATGATACCATTTTTTTTAGAACCAATCCGATCAGATACTGAAAATTCTGAGTATACCAGCATATGTTTTTTAATCAATGTAGAATTAATGTACTTTTGTATGTTGACCTGATCGCTACTTCTTTTGTGTGTTAAACACAATCTACCAAATATAGACAACTTCATTTGAATTAAAAATAACAAATAAAAAAATATATAATCATAATCTATGAAAATAATACTATTATAAACTAGGCTAATTTATTCTAGAAAAATCATGAGTGCACAATAATTTTATAAAATGTAAACATTTAGCGAAATAACATTGGGGAACAAATAAAAGTGAATAAGTGTAGGACTATATCTGGTAAAATTTTATACATTGCTCTTTGTATTGTAGTAAAATACATTCATGAAAAACGAGTAAATATATTTATATATAAATACTATATACTACAAACTTAAAATACATTTCTTTTAAATGCACAGCAGTAATGAGACAGCAACATATGACAGATACGAGTCCTTTTGCTGCCTCCATTACTGTGCTATACATTCAATTATTAATAGCCTTTCTTGTTCTGTCCTATCATGCGCAAAAGTGTTATAATACAGTATGAAAGGCTCAATCCAGAGCGGCACAAAGTGCTTATGCGCATCCCATTCGCAGAATGATCGTCTCGACTGTCGCAACCGAATGCACGCAGCATGAATGCTGTCCGCTCAGTGTGTGTTTTTTGTAATTATTTTTTGTAAAACAATTATATAAATCATTATTTTTAATAATAAAAAAAAAGTTGCAGTCGCAATATAACGCAGCACCAAAAATGATCGTGCTCATTTCCATATATCGTGTGATAAGTCGATATATTGACTATTGCGACAGGCCTAGATGAGTAATATAATAAAAAAGGCCACGTCAATAACTATTAAAACCCTGGGAAAGCCCTGCTGGAGTTTCATGCTTGAACCCCTAATTAGTTCCAATATGACAAGGTTCTATACGATTCCAACATGCTTGTTGCGTGAACTCCTAATTACACTTCTCATGGGGCGCACTTACTTTTTCACAGCACTGTATGTATAATTGGACCAAGCATCTGCAATGTATTCATGTGTGTGTACTTGTGCACATATGTCTCTGGCCTAAGTGGGCAGTTCTTGGAGCCAAAGACCAGAATGTACGTCAGCAGTCATCTTTACATCGTTATCTTGTGGACTTGAGTTGGGTGTGTGGGCGAGAGCGCTGGGCTTCCTTCGTCAATGCACTATTATGTGCTCTCCCTATCACCATGGTAACAGGCATGGCAGGGCAGAGGAACACATACGTTCAAGGAGTCACGTTCAAACGGAAAATGATGAAACAGAGACATCGACGAGCGTGTTTAATCACTCTTTAAACATCACACACACACACAAACACACAGTCACCAGCTGTCTTACAGCGCGTCACTTTATCAGATGGACATAGTAAGACAGGTGGTCAGAGACACAACAGCACGCAAGCACAGTGAAAGCTGGAAACGTCAACAGCATGCACAACATCACTCATCTAACACACTTACTGCCACAGTAACTCTACATAGGAACAAATCAAACAAAAATAAAAGGTGAACTCTCCCAAAGGAAATCTTATTACAAGCAAGTATTGTGCATAGATAAGATCCCTGAAGTTGCAAAGACTAAAGTCTCAAAACCAAAGAGATATTCTTTATCAAAGTTAAGAGTCAGCCACGCTTCCCTAAAACGGCTCGTTCTAACACGCACCCAGTATTCGAAAAATAATGTGTTTTTTTAACATTAAAGCATGTTAACATATTCTGTTACACCAAATACACAAAATAATGATCTTTAAAAAAGCATCATATGACCCCTTTAAGATATTAATTAAACATGTCTAGTGCAATTGATCACATTTACAGAATTTGCTAATACTGTTTCTTATTTCTAAAGACAACTTAAAGATATCCATTTGTTAATCATTCTTCAGAGTTACTCCTCTCCACTGCTTTAGCTTGTTCACTGGAGTTTGCATGGCACTATTCTCTGCAAAACTGGCTTGGAATCATATTTATTGAAAAGTGCTACACAAACACATTTAAAATGAATTAAAAGTGTTTTTCAGTGTTATTTTCAAGATAATATTTAATTAAACTTGCTGAAATACAATTCCAATTCAAAACCAAATGATTTTACTTCGGAAACATGTTCTTAAACAGTGTTCCTGTAGAAAAACAGTACAGCACGGCATCAGCAATGCCAAGGTCATGGGTTTGATTCCCAGATAATGCATGAACTGGAAAAATGTATGAATAAAACGCAATATACGTTACTTTGGGTAAAAGCTTCTGTCAAATGTAAATGTGTAAATGTAACGTGGTTATCAAACTTAATCATTTTCTCACACAGTATGCATGGGCCATTAGGCTGCTTTAATGTTTTAAGAATGGGGATGATCACAAGAAAAGAAAAAAAACTTGATTAGTTGATTCAGGTACATTAAGCTAGAGTTGGAACTACACAGTAAAGTGGCTCTCCGGGAGAAGCAGTTGTCTAAAAAGAAATGCATACTGTGTGTTCACCGTATATATGTATCCATCAAGCGGCAACTTTCCGGTCTCTCTCTTGAAACCAACACGGAAGTGACTTACAGTAAACTGCAATTCATCGACTGGCTCCAAAAGGGAGTCAATCCCATAGACTCCACATGTTAAAATGTCCAACTTCAAAGCAGAAAAAAACATGTTTACAGCTTGGTACAAAAAGTGATTTTGGTCTATATACTGTAGCTAATTTTGCCCTTCATGACAACTGTGAGGGGGTGAATTTTTTGTAACTCATCAGTTTAAATTATATTAAGCCTTAAAGTTCTGCATAATTAAGGGCGTGGCCACTTGAGTGACAGGTGGATTGCTGCTGCTGTCACCACCGTTGAGCTAGGTGGGCGTGGTTTCAGCAACCAGCTCCACCCACGTCCCGCCTCTTTGCCCATTTTCGATTATCCAGGAGTGACGCGCTGCCAAGATGGCGATGGCCGGCTCTGCCCACTTTGGGCTTCAAAAACGCTCTTCAGAAACCTATGGGTGACGTCACGGACACTGCATCCATGTTTTTATACAGTCTATGGTATCCATGTATTGGATTCTGGAAACTGCACTTGTAAATACCATAGACAGAGTGTAAACCGGTCTGACAGCAGGGAAAACATAAAAATCACTATGACGCTGATGAGTCATTAACATGACTGACATCTCTTATCAGAAACAAATGATGCATTTCCCTCTCTAGAAGCCACGTAAAGTGGGGATAGAACAGAATCACCCTGTTTTGTTCATCTTTCACTTGGATGTTATAAGTTGCACTGGGTAAATACAGCTGGATAAAACAAAAACTGTGTCCGTCTTCATTTCAGGCTGCAAAGCAACAAAATGTGATTATCTTAAAGGGGGCTGATACTTTTCTATACCCACTGCATTAACCCATCATGCTCGACCAGGCAGAGTGGACACATAAACATACCTGCGGCAATAATGGAGACTGGCGTCCAATCTGAGTCCACTGTCCATTTCGAACCCTGTACCCACTCACAACTTTACCTGAAGAACAAGACACACAAGATCATGAAAATGCATGTTACCACCACAGAAAAGGAGAATTTGCAAAGACTAAATAAGAACTAGATGTAAATATAACAAAAAATCGATATCTTTTTTAAATGCTATCTCACCGAGGCTGTGTGTGTGTGTCCTGAAGGCAAATGGATACATCGGGGAGGATGTGTAAGTGCAAGCAATGTCTGCATTGGTAACTGCAAACACCAAAATCATCAGACGGCATAAATAAGATGACAAGCATTGATATCCAATCACAACCTTCTAGGTAAAGCTAGAAACCTTTCACCACCCCAAATGTCTGCAAGACTATTAGTGCCAAACTGGAAAATAGATGAAATGGTTCCCATGTTGGTGTACCTTTCTTCCCAGGAGGAATGACAGTGTCCACAGACATCATCAGATACATGCCAGCAATAAAGGGCTGTCTGCACAGAGCGCACAACAGTCATCAGATTCACAGAGACTCAGTTAGAGGAGCTGAATTAATAAAACACCACAGTTTCATTGACTTTCATATTGAATTGCTTACATAATAAATTATGTTTATAGTCTTAATATGTATACGACTATGTAAGGAATAGATAACAGCACAGTATTGAAAAATAATGCACACCTGACGTAGTAATGCACAAAGTGAAGAAATGCATAATTTGTAATAATTTAACAGTAATTTTTTTCTCCTTAAACTTTTCTCCTGGTTGGTGACTTCACAAGTTTACTGCATTCGGACTGATTTATGCATCTGTTATAAACATAGCAGGCATACATTATGCCAATGGCACTGTTTAGCCTGTATTTTGTGGTTCCTCCACTCACATTAAAAACACACTTTAGCTTAATGGAAACAGGCACTCTGCAGTGATATACACAGTAGCACTACCGGAAGCCTGTGTTGACCAATCAGAGCCAAGGACTTAAAACTAGCCATTTTATACAATAAAAAATACTGCATGCATTGACAAAATACTGTCATCTTTCAGGCTACATTGACACATTCATATTTTCAAAGACATGGACGTGGCCCAATTTCCAGTTGCACCTAAAGTAAGTAATTGTGCCCTTTGGCATGTGTGACATAAATTAGGACGGACACGAGCTGAACTGGAGCTGATTCAGTTGCTGTTTTTACTCATGCTCAACCAACACTTTATTTCCTTAACATTATACAAACGGTTTAGGAGAGCATCTTGAATGACAGTCAACTGTTTCTTGATAAATCAGTGTCTTAGCATTTCTGCACACAAACAACTGAAAGTCTCTTTTTGAATGTGGTTTCACACACAAACAATTATTTGAGCCCTAAACCAAACATAACAACTGTGCACTGAAAATAACTTGGTGTAGGATTTACTTCAAAACTATTCTCACAAATAATTTTGCTAGTAAACAAAGAAACTGAAAGAATCACATTAAATTAAACATGAATTTTTGAAGCAGAAAGACAGTACAGTATTTTCTTCCAAAAAAAACTCTAATAATCGTTTCATTTACAACATTTTTTTTTTAATTCATGTTTTACAATATAGGTTTGCATGAAACCTGTGAGGAGTTTGAAAGGGTGAATGCTGTTTGCTTCGCATCAACCACAATGAACATCAATATGCTACCCATATAAAAAGTGATGGATATCTCCAGGAAAGGCCTCTCTCTCTGTTGAAGCTATGAATAATAGATGGGATGTTGATTGATGGCTGTAGCAAGACAGAGATTATGTAACTCTCAGAAACAAGCAGAAGTCTGGGTGGACCTGTTACTCTACAAACTACAGCCTTCCGTCTCTAAAGACCACACAACGAAACACAATCCACTAATGGAAAGCTGAAGATTCAAAACAAGTCAGTTCCACACAACCAGTCAGCAATTACAATGACTGAAAGCTCACAAAACGTGCTTCATTTCAAGATGGGTATCGCTGAAACTAATGATAACGTATGGTTTAATGAGTAACACGGATATTGATTCAGTAACCCCTCTGACTGATTCAACGAGCTCCTTCAGTGAATAATTTACTTTATGAATAATTCATCAAATACACCCTCTCAAATGAGTCATTTCCAATTAATCAGACTATAATGCTTGCACTGTATGTGTTTGTTCTTGCCTGCAGCTCACAGACTGCAAACTCATATTCACAACACTGGAGATCCGGCGCTGCAGGCATGGAAACTATATTTGGTGGACAAATGTATACTTCATTTATATCATTCCTATATGTTACAAAAGTATTCAGATAAAGAATGAATATCAGACTGAACCCTTAATGAAGCACCAGCACCAAATACAGTAAATGATCAGCTGTAGATGAAGACCAAGGGACTTATTTTATTGCAGTGAGCATTGAGGTTTGTGAACTCATTAGCCACCAGTCATGGCCGCTGCCGCTCGAGTCTCAGTATTACGAGATTCACTGGCCTGGATGACTTGTGTAAAGATCTGCTTAAGCACACAGCAGGAGAGAGACGTTATACTTTGATGTTAGCATAAGCAAATGCAGTCTCATCTGAAAATGAATCAGAAGAGACCGGCCTGAACGAGATCACATCTTTAAAGCCTGATCAGATTAAACATTCATTTCATCATCAGGATCACAGTTAAATAACAAAGGACATTCAAGATGGCGGCACACACAGACGCAGCGGCCGGTCCTTGTCCAAACAATAAAGTGCAAATGCATTCATAAAAATAAAGGGGCCCGGTTTCATTCACTGTGTTTAAGCCCTCATGACTTCCTTGTTCAGACTCAAGTCTTTGTCTTGTTCATAGATGGTTCATGGTGAGTCTTAGCTCCTGCTCTCTCGTGTTTTTGACTTACTTTGGATGATTATTTAATAAAGTCTAACCCTAGACGTCTCTGTGATGTGCCATTGTTGATGAGCATGTACTCACCTATGTAGGCCTCCCATGACGTGGGGACAGGAACAGCCATACAGTAGTAGCTGTCGGACTGTTAAGAAACAAACACACAAGTTAGACAGTTTCTATCATAGATACACATATTCACTGCTGACCATGTTTACAAAAGTTTCAGTTCAGTGATAACAGAATGAAAGAAATGCACCAAAATAAAATTATTTTGCAAAAAGTCATTTTCTTTCGTATTTCATGCAATATCTACACAAGTGCCTCAAATACATTTTAGGTGCAGCCATTATCTGGCCATACTAGCATACTGCAAAGTAAATACTGCCTATTTTATAACACAACACACAATAATTGTGATCACATAACTTCACTACATTGCATGTGTAATTTGCTAGGCGGCCAAAAGCTGAGAATTTCATACAAAATTGAATTAAAAATATAAAAAATGTCCAAGATTTATTATTTGCAACAATGCATCATACTACTGTTAGAAAAGCTTATCTTTACATAATGCATATTTTTCCAACTGTGAAACGGTGGAAACCGAAGTTCAAGACGAATGTTTTATAATATGGGAAACAGAAGTGAAATATGCTCTGTTGCATACTGTACATTTGGGAAAATACAGTAGGTCATCCTAGTATTCAATTCATTAAGAATATTCACAGAGTAAGGGTAGCGCCTCTAATACAGTGCAGAGTAAATCTGGCAACATGGACAGGGTTCAGGTGGAATACTAACTAACTAGATCAGCTAGATTATGAATACTGCTGCTTTTGTATGTATTGTATTACATATGCTGCAAAAATTGCATTAATTATTTTAACACGTTAAACAGTAAATATTAAATCTAATTTTCTTGCTTTTTAATCATTGATTTAGGCTTTCTTGGAACACTTTAACATTATCTTTATTTGGACAAATTCTCTCTTTCTTCAGCTGCCTGAGCAACAAGGTGTACTCGAGTGCACTCAGCACTGTCACACACACACACACACACACACACACACACACACATTATTATTCATGAGACTGCATGTCATTTTCCTACGAGAAGATGTTTCGTTGAGAGATTGAGAGATGTGTTTTGGATTGCAAGTGAGTGTTTGTAAGAGTTTTTGGCATAAAATCTCTTCCACAGACCCTGAGGATACAACACAAACATGATCCATCCATTTTTTTCAGCTCGATGTAACCGTTCAAAAGCAATGAATAAACACCACAAAATAAGTCTCAGTTATTAAAACACACAGACACACACACACACACACACACACACACACACACACACACACACACACACACATTATTATTCATGAGACTGCATGTCATTTTCCTACGAGAAGATGTTTCTCTTAGTAGTTGAGAGATGTGTTTTGGATTGCAAGTGAGTGTTTGTAAGAGTTTTTGGCATAAAATCTCTTCCACAGACCCTGAGGATACAACACAAACATGATCCATCCATTTTTTTCAGCTCGATGTAACCGTTCAAAAGCAATGAATAAACACCACAAAATAAGTCTCAGTTATTAAATAAGCAACAGCACACTCATATAGATTTTCCATGCAAAGTACAAATGTAACCGGCTGTGCATTTGTCTTCTGTATTAAATTATAGCTGTCACAGGATGTGTGTGTTTGCACAGTGTTCTTACCAAAGCATGCATACTATGTTCATTTTGATGCAGGGAATGATGAAGTGCAGCATGGGTTTACGGGAACCTGTGATGCTTTTAACTCAATGAGAGTGAAATCAAACAGAAGCCGCTGTCGTCTCCACAGCTTCCCACGCACACTTTCATAGCATTTTTCAAAACTGTGGTGAGAACTAACTGGTGATGAAGTAGGGTGTTTCATGGCCCTATAAAGAAATGTGCAAATCACAAAGAAGATGCATCTTACCTCGGTTGGAATCACCCCAGGAATGCGAATATCGAGGGAAAAATTGTAAGGATTGGACAGGACAAATGGCTGTCTGGTCCTCGAGCAGTCATTGGGGTCTGACCAGGCCCTGTCCTGAAACCTGTTACCAAAAACAGATGTGCATTGCTATCTGGTGGCTAGGATGCATTTTTGACAGACATCTTTAAAATGTTAACATCTAAGTTGGGACTCCTTAAATATATTCTATCAAACTATTTAAGTCAAAAAAAGCCTTCTTGTCAGTGAAAAAGTTGATTCAGTTCACTAATAGGGCTGGGACGATAAATCGATGCACGATTACTAAATCAGTGAACTTGTCCTAGGACTAGTGATTCTGATTGCTTCTGCAATATTTGATGATATAAATCGCATACGATATTTTTTTTCGAAATCGTCCAGTCCGATTACAGAACCTTTTTGATGGCATTAAACCATAAAATAGATTTCAGAACAATGAAAACTAAAAATGCAGATTTAATTTCAGGTTTGAGAATAGATCAAATGGAATTTGGGAAAACACAGTGCATTTCATAGGGCCTTTCTTTATTTGATATGGTTATTTATTTATTTATCTATTTTAACCGCTTTATCATCCATCATGTGTAATCAGACTGATTAGAAAAGAACAGAACTGTGTAAACACCCCTTAATTTATCTAATGCAACAGGACAAATTAAAAAAAGTAATACAAAAAAAATGGTGATGCACTGAAATTTTGTCTGAAACTGTTTTAGAGGGCCGAAATCACTGACCATTTAATGAGCTCTGTTTTGACTGTATCAGTGTCTATTTTACGCACAAAATGTGGATAAAATACAACGGGTAAACATGCCAGCTGTGTGGACAGTGGACACTACGGCTGAGTTGACGATATCAATTTCTCAAATTGAATTGATTGACTGATATCGATTCTTAAACCCCAAGATCAACCCTTTAGTCTATGCTGTTTACAGTGGATGCGTGAAGAAAACTAAACATTATTTGTAGCGTGCTGCCCATAATCCAATCATCTCAGTAAGCTTTTGACATGAAGCAATGTCTTAGCTTTCAGTTTTCATTATATCACAAAATTCAAACAAAAATTTTTTTGAAAATGCTTAATGAAAACATTACTGAACGTTTGTGTGTGTGTGTTTTAACCACAGAAAGACGTTAATAAAACAGCTTGTAAACAATATATCACTTGACATTACATTTACCTCAGAAAAGCCATTCAACGTCCAAGCTCAAAGCTTTTATTACTGTGTCTGTTTAAACAACGAACTGGAGCAGAATACAGTGCTATACAACTGCTTTATGTGCAACTTAAATGTTTATATATAGCTCAGTTTTTATTTGAGTGAAAATAGCGATTCTATTTACGCTAGGTAAAAGTAGCAGATCTTTGCAATAAGTGTAAATAGTAATTAGATGCTATTTATACTTATAAACAGTGACAGATACTATTTGCACCTCAGTATTGTTGCACATTATAATAACAGAGTTTAAATGATTTTATTTATTAAAATTATTAAATGGACGCTGCCTTATTTGGGACAACAAAGCCCTCCCTATGGCCTACCCACTCGAAACTTAATGTGTTTTTTTTCTCTCGAAACACAATGACTTTATTCTCGAAATGTTTATTCTCAACATTTTATTTAGAATTTTTTTACCCCCCGAAAAACTGAGTTTAATCCATAGGTTTAATCTTGCATTATAATGGCTTTAATCTCAAAATGTTTTTTTTTTTTATTAGTGCTTGGCCCTAATCCTCTTCCGTAGGTTTCAAACGGTTTCAAAGGTTTCCGTGTCTGCCAAATGAAAACTTTAAATTCAGTGTTTCTGTAAAATATGCATTTCAGTGCATCACTAAAATAAATCTCTTGTTGGATCACTTGTTTCTATATAACAAAAAAATTCAAATAAATATAAATAATAGCTTTAAACACAAAGTATGGTGGTACTATTTTAAGTTCAAATATAAAAGGGTAACAATTCATGGTAACACTTTATTTTAAGGTTTCCGTGTTACACGTTACATGTACTTACTATTATAATAACAATTAATTATGCATAATTACATGCAAGTACAAACCCTAACCCTAACCATATATTAAGTACATGTAGTTAATTAATATTACTCAGTACTTATATGCATAATTACACTGTAACAAGGACACCTTAAAATAAAGTGTAACCCGATTCATTTTGGTGTCCATGTTATGTATTTACCATAGTAACTACAGTAAATGATAGGGATGCTCCGATCCGCCTTTTTCGCCTCCGATACCGATTCTGATACATAGGGTTCGGTATTGGCCGATACCGATTCCGATCCGATACCAGATATTTATAATCTATGACAAAAAACTTTCATAAACTAGGTTAGTGGATAATTCGGCAGCAAAAGTTATTCTAGAAAAATCAGTGCACAATAATTTTAGAAATCCAAACATTTAGTGAAAAAACAATATTTTGTGGGGAACAAATAAAAGTGTTGCACTAAATATGGTAAAAAGTTACACATTGCTATTTGTATTATAAAATCCATTCAATAAAAACATTCATGAATGTATTTTTATACAAGTATATACTATAAAATTAAAATACATTCATTTTAAATGTATAGCATATTTGTTAACCCGGCAGTTCTTAAAAGCTGAAGAATTCCAAAGGAACTGTTATTTTTACAGGAAAATACAACAAATTATATCGTTTACATGTGTACATCAATTCTGCATGTTATGGAAGACTCTCGCTCTTTGCTCACAGTGAGAGAAAGCGACGGCGAGTCGTGCGCCTTCACACTAGAGTTTACGTTACGCCAAATACACAAACACAGGTGCGCTGCGCATCCATTCAAATGAACTGAAAAACAGCACAGATCGCTTGACGGAGAGTGAAACTCTGAAGTGCGCAGACAGAGTGTTCTGTGAGTGAAAATATATCTGTGCTAATCATATACTCAGCCTCCAACTCACACACTGGCGAGTACAATCTGAGAATTTATTAGCCACTGGCGTAGTGTATTATATCTGTGCAACAGTTATTGAGCCTTTCTTTTAACAGTTTTAAATTTCAGTTACTGTGCAAGTTAAAAACAATTTATAGTCTTTTCTACGCCCGTGTTTTGTTCTCACAGACATCCGGTAGCAAGTAACAAAACATTAAACTCCGGCAAGAAGATAAAGTCCTTTTTGCAAAATCATAGACATGTATTTACAAATCAAGTATAATGGGAACACAGAATGATCTTGGAGAGAGCTTTACCAAACTGACTGCTTTAACCGAACGCGACCAGGGTTTAAAGGCTGAACGAATGACTGACAGCCACAGCGGAGAAAAGAGTTTGTGTGAACTTTAATGTAAGGACTTAAATATTCATATGTAGCTCACATTAAGCTATCGTATGGCTTCAGAAGTAACACAGAATAATTCACACAATCTAAAAAAAAATAAAAAAAAAAATCTCGGATTTGGATTGGCTCTCTCTCTGACCGATACCCGATACGCGAAAAATGGCACTATCGGAGCCGATACCCGATATGAATATCGGATCGGCGCATCCCTAGTAAATGATGTGTAATTAATGTGCCAATTTTTTACTCAATACTCAGAGTAATTATAAGGACACATTATAATGAAGTATGGCCAAAAATAGCTTTAAAAACCCATTAAGGAAGAGAACTGCCTCACCTCTTGGACCTGAACACGGGGTTTTGGACACTGCGGCTATGGCACTGAAAGAAGAGCGCAAACATGAGCACGCCGCACCCCAGAACACCCATCTCTGACCGGACAGAAGAGCGATCAACAACAGAAGAGAGAGCGAGCCGATGCGTTTCAATCCTGCCCTGCCGCCATAAGCCACGGCAACACTCAGCGACTGCAGGCTGCTCCGGATCTCCTGCTCCTCCGGTTCGCTCTTTCTGCTCTCTTCACTCGCTCAGGCTCTTCAAAAAAGTGCCATAAAACAGTCCACGACTCAGTCGCCTCCTCACTGAATGAAACCAGGGCTGTCCAGACACAGTGTGACACAGGCAAGCGAGATGAAGAGGAGGAGGAGGAGGAGAAGGGCTTCTTGCTTCTCACGCTGGGCAGTGCATATCACGAATGCAGCATCAGGCTTCTGTCACAACCTGCAAAAACAGCAGCCAAAAAAGAAGAGGTGAAGAAACAGATGAAAATAAAACAAATGGACCTTTTATAATCCAGCACTCTCAGAATAATCAGTGAGATCAATTCTTACATTCCTACCACCATTCATGAAATATACATGCGGTCTAACTCTGAACAGAGAGAGAGAGAGCAAACAATGATCTAATCAAAGAGGATTCCCATAACAATACCCTCGGCTCGCTCCCTAGGAGACATAGGAAGTGAAGGGGCCTCAGCAGTGCTTCGTGACGGGGATGTCACTTTAGTAGGGCGGCACCATACCCAATATCCTCTGCGAGTTTTTTCAGACTGAATGAGTAGCACTTAGAGGGATTCTCTGCGAGACGTAGAGATGAACAGAAAATGAGCAGGCCTGAGCCACAGGGGATTATGGGAGGTATCATCAACATCCCGTGTGTTTATCCTGAGAGCACCATCACAATACGACTACATTCTGAAGAAATGTCAATACAATCAATGGGATGCAAAAACAGATGCTGCCTCGCTAATCGTGACTGATATCATTTGTGTAAAGGCAGATGTCTCGTGATGAAGAAGAGAGGCCTATCCAAATAAGACAAACAAACGGCAGGAAAAACAAGCAGACGGGGAGGAACCGAAGGCTTACGCTCTTTCAGTGTAAGCGGAATTAATCGCTGAAATAATCCTCTTGACACTGATGGAAATTAACATATTGCCAAGGAGCTGCTTGGTCTTTCTGGGCATATGAAATCAAAAACAGACGCAGCGAATTCAGACTCTTACCTTGCATATTCTCAGGAATAAACTAGCATTTTTTGACAAATGTTCCAATTTTCAAACAATAAACCAGCATTTTTGTGTTTCATCTTTACAAATCATTAACAAATAAATAAATACATTACATAAGTATTAAATTAATAATAACACTAGCAAAAAAATGCCATTTTACCCAAAGGGTTTAATTTGATCTTTTCAATTTAAGGCCTTTATACGACACGATTTTCAACGAAAAATGGAAAACTTTATAACTGTTTTGGCCGATTAAAACAGTTTTCAAAGTGCAGCTTTCAGAAAACAATACCATTATTGTCTTCACGTAAAGTACAAAAAACGAATTTGTGAAAACTAATTCTATAGGCATGCATGATAACCATAATACATAGTTTTTAGTCGTTTCCGCAGATCTGTGTGAACGGGGATCATTGACGACGTTGTTGTCTGTGTGCGAAACTTTTCAAAAATGCAAAGGAAAAACTTTTCTGTTTTTAGTACACTGTTGTCGTGCAAATGTACCCTAAAATAAAAAATAGCATTTTTTTACTCCACAAATCTAAAAACATTAAAGTGCCCCTATTATGCCATTTCCAATATTGCCTTTCATGCAGTGTGTAATGTAGCTGTATGAGAATGTAAACCATCTGCAAAGTTGTAAAGCTGAAAGTGCACGGTAAATAAAGTTATTGTCTCCCAAAATAAAGAATCGATGAAAATGCAATGAAATTTGCAAGTTTATTTGGACCAGCTGCTCCACTGAATCACAACCTGTAAGTATGATAAAGAATAGATGTTTATATTTTCTATAGAGCGTTCAAAATACAGAACTATTGAAACAGGCGTATCGTTTCCGACACGCGCTGTATGCCGTAGACCAATCACAACAGACTAGGTAAGGAGGGGTTTAGAGAGACTGAGTCTTTGAACTGCTTCGAACGAATCGTTTGGGAATCACTGGAAAATTAGGTGAATGCATATTTTGAGAAAACTAAAGCGTTTTTTTGATCTTGCATGCATGTAATCCTATTGTAGGAGACTCCCAAAACAGTATTAGGAACCGTAAAAATGGCATAATAGGGGCACTTTAATGTTTTCACAAATCCAAAATAGACACAAATACTTAGAAATTCAGCATAACGTCACATAACTATTTTCCAGAGACACAAAATTAGATCAATTAACCTCAAAAGTGCTTTGCTTTGACTGACTAAATCTTACAGATGTTAATATTCAGATGAAATGAAAAAATGAAAAGAATAGCATATCCACTCATTAAATGTGTTGAGATGTGATTTTGTGCCATATATGGTCAAGAGAAAACCTCTTAGCCTACTTTTTGAAACAATATTAAACAATAAGGAATGATAGAGCATGCTATATTGTGAATATAGTCACAGCTAAAGGCCGGTCGAACAGAGAAATTCTGCAAAAGTCAGTCTGTTTCAAGATGTTTATATCCACTTTTAGGGATTGACAACCGTATTTTATAACAGGTGTGACTCTCAAACAGTCCGGTTCACACAGCATTCACATCGAGACTGTATGAATGAGTAACTAATGTCAATCCACATTTTTTTTCTTCTTTTTTTGCATCACTCTGACTTAAAAAAGTCTGTTTGATAAGGTGTCAATAAAAGTACACAGCAGTCTTCTATAAGTTGATGTGAACTTTTTAAAACACTGTATTTCCAAGTTGTATCAAATGCATTTTCTAAATCAAAGAAAACAGCACTCACATGTTCCTAAGCATCATTTATGTAACTTTCAAGAATAATGATGTGATCTATAGAGCTACTCCCTTTCCTAAAACCACAGGAAGCATCACTTATAAGAGAACTAGACTCCATTATCCATGCAAGTCCTTCATGAACCATTCACTCCATGATTTTACATACACAACTCATCAAGACTAGGCTTGCCGCGATAGACGGTGCTGACGGTTAAGCCGCAACACCGGCTACGTCACTTGCCCACCGCGGCACCGACCCCCACCGTCGTTTTGATTTTTTATAGTAATAAAAATAATTTAGTTCAGTAAAAGAACAGACACTACAATTAAAAACTGAACGCGGCTGCTCAATGCAGCGTGCCGAACGACAGTCGCATCACAGATCAGATTTCATTTCTCCAGTGAGGAGAGTGTGTCGAGCTGACTGACGAGAAGAGCGAGGCGAGATGACTGACGAGAAGAGTGAGGCGAGACAGACGAGAAGAGGGAGGCGAGACAGACGAGAAGAGTGAGGTGAGACAGACGAGAAGAGGGAGGTGAGACAGACGAGAAGAGTGAGGCGAGGTGAGACAGACGAGAAGAGTGAGGTGAGACATACGAGAAGAGCGAGGCGAGAGAGACGAGACGAGAAGAGTGAGGCGAGACAGACGAGAAGAGCGAGGCGAGAGAGACGAGAAGAGTGAGGTGAGACAGACGAGAAGAGGGAGGTGAGACAGACGAGAAGAGTGAGGCGAGACAGACGAGAAGAGCGAGGCGAGACAGACGAGAAGAGCGAGGCGAGACAGACGAGAAGAGCGAGGCGAGACAGACGAGAAGAGCGAGGCGAGACAGACGAGAAGAGCGAGGCGAGACAGACGAGAAGAGCGAGGCGAGACAGACGAGAAGAGCGAGGCGAGACAGACGAGAAGAGCGAGGCGAGACAGACGAGAAGAGCGAGGCGAGACAGACGAGAAGAGCGAGGCGAGACAGACGAGAAGAGCGAGGCGAGACAGACGAGAAGAGCGAGGCGAGACAGACGAGAAGAGCGAGGCGAGACAGACGAGAAGAGCGAGGCGAGACAGACGAGAAGAGCGAGGCGAGACAGACGAGAAGAGCGAGGCGAGACAGACGAGAAGAGCGAGGCGAGACAGACGAGAAGAGCGAGGCGAGACAGACGAGAAGAGCGAGGCGAGACAGACGAGAAGAGCGAGGCGAGACAGACGAGAAGAGCGAGGCGAGACAGACGAGAAGAGCGAGGCGAGACAGACGAGAAGAGCGAGGCGAGACAGACGAGAAGAGCGAGGCGAGACAGACGAGAAGAGCGAGGCGAGACAGACGAGAAGAGCGAGGCGAGACAGACGAGAAGAGCGAGGCGAGACAGACGAGAAGAGCGAGGCGAGACAGACGAGAAGAGCGAGGCGAGACAGACGAGAAGAGCGAGGCGAGACAGACGAGAAGAGCGAGGCGAGACAGACGAGAAGAGCGAGGCGAGACAGACGAGAAGAGCGAGGCGAGACAGACGAGAAGAGCGAGGCGAGACAGACGAGAAGAGCGAGGCGAGACAGACGAGAAGAGGGAGGCGAGGTGAGACAGACGAGAAGAGTGAGGTGAGGTGAGACAGACGAGAAGATTGAGGTGAG